TTTCTGAATAAGAAACATTTTGATCCGTACTTTATTTGCAAATTTCATCCTCAGCATTAATTGAAAACCGCGCACTAGCAACTTCTCTACGAACCCGGCGGGAAACTTAGGATGATGTGTGCATTGCACTTCACTTTACGTCACTTTGTCGGGTTACGGTATGAATGGTACCGGACTGAAGTTAGCTTATAGTCAGACGCGAAGAATGCGCGTCCCGTTAGTAGGCATTTATACCACTTATTTCAACAGGACGTCGAAATCAGATCAATAGATCTTGGGGCGCCATGTGAATCCTTTTGAGATGCGCAATGTACTCAGTTTCACCTTGTATTTTTCCTAAGAGTTGGAAGGTCATGATCCTTCAGAGTTATAAGCATTATGTTTCATAGATTGACGAGTTCAGTGCAAAGGTGTCTGTCCCAGGTGATGTAAAAACGGTTTTGTGGAGGCTCGTGCGGGAAATACCGTATTTACATATGTTACAATATTTATTGTGGGTAGACGAGCAAATATGTGCTTCTGCGCATTACTGTGCTGTAGTGCCCTATCATTGGGTTAGCTGGTTTCATGGTCTGTGTGAAGAGGTTATGCGACTTACTACTTGCGCATGTAGCCCTAAAACTGGTCAGCGGCTTGTTTGCCCACATGCTGCGATACATTTGCCGCGATGTATAGGCATTTAGGGAACTGGAGGAAGGTGATATGAGAGTAGCTAGTTCTCATTTAAGGTACCCACAGTTGTACTGCATTTTCAGAGTATACCGTAGCAGCTGTTAACTACTTGAGTCGACTATGGCGAGCGAGTCCTCGAAATGAGTTGGACATCTCCATACTCGACTTGAGACGCTGAGTTCAAATCTGCTTTTCGTATCTCCTAAACTCTTCTCTGAAAGGAGTTATGGAGGTTTTTCTTCTTTGCCCTTTCTTTTCAATGTTTTACCTGCAATCACATGTAGGCGCCGCTATAAACGTCACGAAGTTCCAACTTTTCAAGCTTCATTGGCGCAGCGGTAGCGCTCCTGCTTCTCGAGCAAGGGGTT